CAGACCATCAGCTGAAGGCAACTTCCTTCATGATCTTGGAGGTCCTTTCCAACCTAAATGATTCCCTGAGTCTCCTGTGAATGTTGTATTTAGAGTCAAGTCTTCACAGCTGAGACAGAAAAAAATACTGGAAGTTTTTTCACTTCAATAATAGTGGACTATCCATCAGGTTAAATACTTTTTATTTTAACATGATTTTTCCCTCAGCAGCAAAGGAGAAAAGAGAGATAATTTCGGTTTTCTTGTTTGAGGGCTGTTAGCCTGAAATGCTTGAAAAAGACATTTTCAAATGGCAGGAAAAGTGGTTTAAAATGTAAATTGAGGAGGCACTTCTTTAACTGCATTTCTGTGGTGCTGTCTGTGTTTCCCTGCAGGAGGACCTGTACCTGAAACACGTGGGAGAGCTGGACAACATCACCAATGAGAGGGACAACTTCAGACAGGCCTTTGAAGAGCTCAGGAAGCAGAGGCTGAACGAGTTCATGGCAGGGTTCAATGTCATCACAAACAAGCTGAAGGAGAACTACCAGATGCTCACCCTGGGGGGGGATGCTGAGCTGGAGCTTGTGGACAGTCTGGATCCCTTCTCCGAGGGAATCATGTTCAGGTTGGTCAAAATACTTCTTAATTGTCATATTCCTTTTCTCAACCTCTTTTTCAAGTTGAATTTCATTGATCATCAGTGAACCAAGTCAGGCTCGCTATTGGCAAGGTACTGGCAGAATTCACAACTTTTTAGCTCTGGGATTCATTTCTCCTGGAGAAATCAGGAACTAACAGCAGCTGGAAAGCTTTGACCTCATTTCCCAGTGCTGAATTCCCAAATCTGCCCAGGGGATGGGGGCAGTCATGTGTTGTGCCACAAATGCTTGGAGTGTGAGTTAAAGAGCACTTGGGAAGGGAATTCCCAGGAGCTGGGAGGTGTCCCAGCTCCCCAGGACAGCCCGGTTCCAGCAGGTGGGGCTCAGCCACACCCCAGCTGGGCGGGTCAGTCAGGAAACCCCTCCCTGTTTGCAGCGTTCGGCCTCCCAAGAAGAGCTGGAAGAAGATCTTTAACCTGTCGGGGGGTGAGAAGACGCTGAGCTCCCTGGCTCTGGTGTTTGCCCTGCACCACTACAAACCCACCCCCCTGTACTTCATGGACGAGATCGACGCCGCCCTCGACTTCAAAAACGTCTCCATCGTGGCCTTTTACATCTACGTGAGTATCCAGGGGCACCTCTGTGCCTGTTCCCTTCCCACCAGGACACACAAACTGGCAGCACAAGCACAGCACAGTTTAAATCTGCAAGGGCAGTTCTCAGGGGAAGCTCCGGAGGAAGAACATTTCCAGAAAGTGCTGGAGTTTTGCTTTCTGCATGTTTTTTTAAGCTCCTAAGTTTGATGCTTTCCCAAAGTGAGGGGGCCAATAGAGGATTTACAAGTGTTTTCCCTACAAATCCTAAGTTGTCTAAAGAGAGCTGGAATTTGCCAAAGGTGCCACATCTCCATGTGCTGTTTCCTCTTTAAAATCCCCCAAACCCTCAGCTCTTGTCAGCTGAGAATACACAACTACTTGAGCTCTCAGTGATGTCTCCGTGTATCCAAGCTCATGATCTCTCAGGAGCAGGCAAGGTTGGATTTATACTTCCATTTCATTCCCATGAGTTGTGTCCCATCAGTGTCTCTGATCTGTCTTGATTAGTAGGTTTTTTTCCTGCCTTTAAAAGTCCTGCCCTCACCATATTTAAGCAAAGCAAACCCTTCCAGCTACGGTTGTGGCTGCCAGTTAAACCTGGGATGTTCAGAATTATCCCAAATGTCACCACCAGTTTTGGGAACAGGTGGCAAGGATTAGGATCAGCTACTTTAAATTAGGGAAACACCTGGAAGTTCCTGCCTGCAGCTGTAGGTTTAAACTTGGTTTCCATAGTGTGTCCACAAAGGAGGGTCCATCACCCACAGGTGAGCCAAGGGTTTAATTCCAGCTGCAGTTTAGACTGACACAGACAGTTAAAACCTAGTACTGAGTTTAGCTTTTAAATGCAAATTTACCTTAGTGTAGAGCTGGAGGTTGTATTTTGTGCACAACTTTGAACTTCCTTGAGCAGCCTGGTCTGTGGAAGATGTCCCTGCCCACAGCAGGGGTGGAACTGGATGGGCTTTAAAGTCCCTTCCAACCCCAACCATTCCATGTTTCTGTCCTGGAGAAAAGGGGCTCAGAGCCCTGAACTTACCCTGAGACTGGTGGGTTCTGAAGCACAAAATCAGTTTTATTTCTAAAGCACCACCAAGTTCAGACACCGTTACCTGTTGTGCCTCAGGGTCACACAGCCGCTGTTGGTTGAGGCTGGTCCTCGTTAGCAGAGGGTTTGCTTTCCCCTCTTCAAATCCATGGGAATTGATTTTCCTGGTCACTCTCAAAGCAGCCCTGGCTCTGACAGCCCAGGTGACTCAGCAATACCCCCCTCCAGCCTTGTGGAATTCCTGGAACGAGGATGGGAGCAGGAACTCTGTGGCTGGTGATGACTCCTCACTGTCCCCTGGGCACGGGGCTCCCCCCAGGACAGAGCTTTGGGAATGCTGGGCACTAACAACCCATTTGTGTTTCAGGAGCAAACCAAGAACGCCCAGTTCATCATCATCTCCCTGCGCAACAACATGTTCGAGATCGCTGACAGGCTCATCGGCATCTACAAGACCCAGAACACCACGAAAAGTGTGGGCACCAACCCCAAAAGCATCAATCTGAAGGGACTGCAGGAACTGGCTGCCCTGGAGGGGAGAGCCCAGAGCCAGGGGGGACCCCAGAGCCAGGGAGGCCCCAGTTCCCTCTCCACTGCTGCTCTCTAGGTCTGTCTAAGCTACTTTTGTTTTGTTTTGTACATTTTGTTAATAAAAACCCATTTTGATAAACTGTCCTGTAAAAACTGAGGAAGCGGGGAGCTCGTTGAGGGGGCAAAGGTAAGATTTCAGTCCATGTCAGGGAAAGAAGAGGACTCTGGAACTACCTCCCTGTGAGCCTCCCATGTCCTGGGAAGAGCAGGGAGCAGATCCTGCTGGAGGCTGGGCCAAGGCACAGGGAGGGAGTGGGAACAGCCACCTCCAGAGCTGCCTCCAGCTCGGATCCCCAGCTCAGGAAGGATGTGGAGCTGCAGGAGATGCTCTGAGGGCTGGAGCCCCTCTGGAGACAACTCCCTGCTCCTCCCCTCTCCATGAGGGTCTGCAGTGAGGGAAGGAAGGTGATGTGATGCCAGTCCTGCTGTAAGAAGAGGCTTTATTTGTAGGCAAACCTCGGAAAATAACAGTACATTGGGAGTGTTACAGGGGTCAGTCAGCGGTAAAGGCACTTTAAATTCCTGTCATGAAAAATAAAATTGTATTAGAAATTCTTTTAAAAAGGAAAATAAAAGATAGGAAGGGGGTAGGAAATGCAGCCTCGTGGGGCAGTGAACAGACCATCAGGATTGGAGGTTGATGTGTCAAGTGCAGCCTCCCAGCAGGGCTCAGGACAAAACCAAATTCCCAGTTTTACTGGGAAATTGGTAGGAGAGCACTTACACAGTCCCAGCACACATCTGGAACACCATTCCAAAACTGAGCAGTGGGATGGGTGGGATTTGCCACTGGAACTCTGAAAGGTGACAGAAAAACTCAGGAACAAATTCCAGGTACAACTCCCATCCCAGTGTCCTCCTGCTCCTCACCCTGGGACACTCCACCCCCCCCAAGCTGCACCTGGGCTGGACTCAGGCTTTATCAACACTGGGATGTCAGGATTGGGATCAACTTTAGGCTTAAGGAATGTAACAGTATCACCTCTGAGGACTGACCTTGCATGAACTGTGGCAGCAGGTGGGATTTGGACCCCACAGCGCCTGCTGATAACGGGCAAGTTTGGGGTTCAAAACCCCAAGTTCAAGGAGTTAAAGGGCAGGTTCAGAATTCAATCCCTGCTGACCCACTGCCTACAAACCACATCAGCCAAGGAATGCTGCCGGGCTGAGAGAGAGAATTATTTTTATGAGGTCAAATACCCATTTCTGTGTTTTTCTCAAATCAATCCCCAGTGAACTGTCACTCACTGCCTCGTGCTGGTGGAACTACAGCACTTGGAGCCTCTCCCAGGGCTCAATCCAGCCTGGTAAAGGCTAAAACTGGCTCCATTTGGGCTGGAGCAACTCAAAAGCAGCAAATGGTGTCAGTGAGCACCTGAGGGCAGAATAAACCCCTGTCCAGGGACAGGTCTCTGTGCTGACAATCAAAAGGTTAAATATAAATTCTCGTTCCTTGTCAGGTTAAGAGCTCCTGACGTCTGAAATCCTCCTGCCCCGGACTCCAGCAGGAGTTTTGCCACTACCTGCAGCGTGTTTGTGTTTTCACTACACCCTAAATGATTCAGGAAAAGTCAGGGAGCAGTGGGAGGTCCCTCCCTGCCAGCCCAGCCCCCCCAATGTGGGCACAGCTGGGTCTAAACCCTGTGTGTGCATCCAAGGTCTTGCTCTGCAGGAGAGGATGGGAGAGGAGGAACGTGGGAAACACACAAAGTTATTACATACAGGATAAAAAAAATGACAAAAAGGGTGAAATCGTGTCCTTTGCTCTACCCAGAACCAAAAACTGAGCGCCAGGGCCACAAGCAGAGACCTCAAAGAGCACAAATGTCTCTGTTCCAACACAGTCACAAGCCAGGAAGCACAGAAAGGGAGTTTCTTGCATATCAGAGGCAGTGCTGGCCCTGGCCCCTCTGCAGCTGAGGGGTCCCGATAACCTGTCATGTTTGTATTAAAAAACAATTTCAAAAGACGTTACTAAAAATAAAAAATAAAACTCCATGTTGAAGGAGTTTTCAGAGCTGAGACTCAGATTCCCACGTGTGAGCTGGTTCCAGCTGCTGGTCCTGTCTGGATCCTGGTTGGAACAAACACCTCAGTGGGACAGAGAGCCCTTTTTGGTGCAAATGTTTACTTCACTAAGACTTAGCTCAGAGGAAATCCAGGCACTAGAGAAAAGGAAGGATATGGGAATAGAAGGGAGAAGTGTAGAGCTTTGATAATCCAGCTTTTCAGTGGAAATCAAAAATACTCCTGGATTCCTAATCACGGAAGCAGTCAAAGGGGACAATTCTCCTGCAGAACCCCATCAGGGAGGTGAATGGGTGGCGCAGCCCATCCACGGCCTTCTGCAGGTGGGAGCAGGAATGCTGATAGAGCTGGAGCAGGAATTCCGATATCCATGCGGGAGCAGCCTGGATGGCCCCGGGAGGCAGTGCCCTGTGCAGGGCGAGCGCGGTGCCCGCCAGGCCCAGCAGCAGCAGCAGCAGCAGCAGGGTGGGCAGGCTCAGGGTGGGCAGGCTCAGGGTGGGCACCTGCTTCCCGCCTTCCACATTTTCCTTCCCAGGGCATTTGCTGCACGGTTTCCTCCTGGGAACCATCATCAGTTTTGGAGGGGGGATCTTGTGGATCTGACCCATTTCAGTTTTAGCCCACACGTCCTTCAGCAGGTCCTCCATCCTTGGACAAATCTCCAGAGGTCTCACATCGGGCAGTTCCTTCTCCCTCAGAGCCTTGACCCGCTGCTGCAGCTCCTCCAGCTTCTCCAGGCACAGCAGGGGGGACTTTTCTTTCCGAATAGAGGAATTCAGGTACTTGAGCTCAATCTCTTCCACCTTCATTTTGCTCACACTCTCCAGCAGGGGCTCGTATTCCCGCAGGAAGCGCCTGTTGAGCTCATCCAGAGCCCCCAGCAGAGTTTGTTTCTTGTGCTCCAGGGTGACCCTGAGCTTTAGGAAGTACTGCTCCACCACGTCCCTCTCGCTTCGCAGGAGCTTCTCCCACTGGGATTTCTGCATCGTCAGCTTCATGTAGCACAGCAGCACCTCCCGCCAGTATTTCTCCGGCAGCTGCTCCTGCAGTTTCCCCGCGGCCTCCTTGGCGTTCCTGTGGGCGCTGTGCGGGTCCCCGATGGGGTGCCCGTGGTGCTGCCCTATGGTGAGGCACTGCCCGCACACCAGCTGCTTGTCCAGCAGGCAGTAAATGTTGAGGGGCTGCCGGGGGTGCTCCCGGCACGTCTCCACATCCCAGGGCTCTTCCTGCCGGCACTTCTCAATGACGGCCTTGAGGGCGAAGTTGATGGGCAGCGATTCCAGCCCGGCGGTGGGAATGTCCACCAGGGCCCGGCAGTTGGGGCACTTGAGGCGCCTGCGGATGGAGAAGGTGTCGGAGCGCTGGAGAACCCCCTCCAGGCATTCCCTGCAGAAGGTGTGGGAGCAGGGAAGCACCCGCGGGTCCTGGTAAATGCCGCAGCAAACGGCACAGGTCAGCTCCTCCTCCAGCCGCTCCATGGCCTGCGCGGGGAAAGCAAACACAAACAAAGGGCTTCAGCTCATTGCAGTGACCCCAACGTGGCATTTGCTGACCGGGAATTCCCACCTCGCCAAGGGGAAAAAAAAGGCAAGAAAATAATGAAAATGAACAGTTCAATGATTTCAGCAAATTCTGAGCTGCACTCAGGAGCCAAGTGAGCACCCACATCCAACCTCTGCCTTAAAAAGCCAGGGAAAGCAGGAATCTGCCACTAGATGTTTTTTACGGTGGGAAACAGTAGAAAAGAGTGGTAAAAGCAAAATTAGAATTTCTAAATAACCTCAGAATTATGAACAATTTCTCCCACCACTTCCAACGTGAGAATAGAACAAGAAGTACAGACGCTTTTTTTTCTCTCCTCACTTCAGATGTTACTTTTGTAACATAAAATAGTCATTAGAGCATTAAACAGTCACATTTACTAGAAGGTCTCTGGAGGTTCTGGCATTAAAAATCCAACTCAGCAGCCCTTACAGACACCACCACTACCAGGAATTAGATTTTTGTGTGTTATTCCTGGGTTACTTTAAGCACCAAACTCAAAAACTAACTTTCACTTTCCACCCTTTGTGATGTTGCTTCATTTTTTTCTTTGCCAGCTTAGTGAAATCAGTGTTAAATCCCAAATAACAGCAACACTAAAGCCAGTTTTCCTGATAAATCATAGTTCTGGTTTTCATTCTGCTAAAAACACGAGGGAAGTGGTACCAAGTTTCCTCCTCTTTGTGCCACGTTTTCCTGCCCCTCCACCAGTTTGAGTCAGAGACTTTGCTGTGCTGCAACAAGAAAATGTCTGAGTTTTCAGCATCAAAACCCATCAATTTGGGGTCTAAACCAAAATCTGCAAACAACAACCTGGAGCAGGGCTGACACTGAGGGAGGGCAGCAGCTGAACACCCAAAGCCCAGTTCCCTGAGGGTTAAATCAGAGCACAGAAACCTGCCCTGGTGGCACAGAAATAAGCCTGGCTTATCTCCCTGGCTGGGGTTGGGTCCAAAAGGGCAGTGCTGGGCTGCTGACTCACACCCTGGGCTTAATTAGGCTGAAACAGTGCCAAAAAATCAACTGAAAAGTTTAATTTGTTAGTTTATTTTTAATTTATCATCACCCAAATCAGCCAATTCAATCTGTATGTTGTTAAGTCAATTTTATATTCAAAGCACACTTTGATTAATTCAGCTCTAAGAAAAAAAATAATTAAAAAATCTATGCAGGTAAATTATCACTAAATGTTGGTTCACTTCTTTGAATTTTTTTTAAAAAAGAATTCTTTTTAAACAGCTGGGAGAAAATCTCCTAGAGGGAGACATAATTCCATATAATTCCTAAGAACTGCCATTTAAAAGCAGATTCATAAAGAGTGTCAGCATTTATACCCAACTGCTGCATTCTCCTCAGTAAAGAGAATTTAGATCAGGTCCAACAAACATTTAACAAAAGACCTTCATGACAATGACACTAAATCTATTTTTTACTAAATAAAGGCCGTGAGGTTATTCCTCTTTTCACTGGGAAGCCACAGGCCTTTATTTCCCAGCTTTTCCAATCAGCCACTGTGGCAACTCTGGGTTATTAATTCCATGTTTTTAAGTGATGCTTCAGACACTGGAACTAAAGAAATGTGACAATAACAAAGGGAGCTGAGCAACAAATCTATTCCACTGTCTAGATAATTATTTTTTATAACTAATTCGCATAGGAACTACATTTAAAGGTTTTATTTTATTTATATATATATTTAAATAAACTTATTATGAATCTTAGGAGTGTCACTTCCACTGAAATCAAAGGAAAAATATGCTATATTTTTTCTCATGGTTAGAAAAAAAAGAATCCTTAGTTAGACATTTGCTATTTTCTCTTATATATATGGAATTAATATATTTTTTTAAAAATCTCCCTGTTTAAAATCACTAACCCTGGCACCTCCAGCATTTTTATTACTCCTTTTTATTTTTTGTTTATTATTCCCCAGTTTCCAAACAAGATTTGGAATGTCAATGCTGATTTTTCTAAAGCACCCTGTGTCTCCTTAATTTGTTCTAGACAATTACCAGGAGTTGTAGCAGGGAAGTAAAAGGTTTGGAATTCCCAAAATTTCACCCAGCACTGGTAGCACAGAGGAAATACCCATATATTGATTTATTTCCACTGCTGTTCACCTGCAGACTGTTGGAAACAGAGACTGGGAACGGCAATTGGAAAATACAGAGAAGGCCCAAAATCACAGAGTTAAGCAAAGAGAAAGAAAATAACTTTTCTAGGAAAAGAAAAGCAGCAGCAGATACTTTTCCTGGCATGTTCCAAACAACTGTGGCAGCAAATACATGTGCCACATGGATAATAATAAATATATAGATTTATTTTAAGAGTTCCCCCAGCATAAACAAATCACAAACTAGAGGTATTTTAAAATTCAAAAGTGCAATTTGTGCCAGTTTTGGAAATCTCCCAGCAATGGGATGCCTGCTAAGGACTGGGATTTTATCCTCCTCTAATTAGGGATGTTGGAGAGAGGTGAAAACATGTCCTGAAGGCAGCAGAGCTGTGGGATGGGGTGTGTGCCAGATCACAGGAATGTGGTGCATTCCTTGATAACTCTGTTCCTCTCCCAGAGATCTCCTGCTCCCCCAGCTCATTATGCCACAGGTTGTTCAGAAAAAATTGTTATGTATTTTTATATGCAAATATACAAACTGTTGAACACAGCACACATCAGTGTTTAGGCAGATAAATAACTGCTTTACAGGACAGTCCCACACACCCCGTTCTACTCCAGAGGACTTTAAAAGGTGAATTTGGCACTGGATAACAGCCCATTCCAAAGGGCACCCCCAGGAGTGGGAGCTGCTCCTCCTCCTGCCAGCAAAGGGCACCTCTGCTCTCTCCTGAAGGATTGCAACACTCAACTTCAAAACTGTGCTGACCTTGAACCAAATCCATGCAGAAATGCCCATTCCCTATCCCACAGAGATCCATGAAATCCTCTTTATCACTATTATAGAAACTCAAGTTTACGTTGTGCAAGAAATGGAGATCGAATGACATTACAGTGTTTTCCATTTATAAATCACCTTCCTGGTAAAGGAACAAAACATAAAACCACCAGGAATCACAAACAGCCCTAAACCTCCCTATTCCAGCCCATTCCTGCTGCTTTATCCCACAGCACAACTCACAGCAATTCTCAGCCTGGGATGTTCTGCCCTGGCCCCTGCTCCTACCACAGCCACTACAGCACTGGCACAGTTTTACACTTTCTGGCGTTTTTTTCCCCACTGTTTTGGGGTTTTCAATGACCTGAAGGAGATGAACACAGCTGTGTAGTTTCCCCATCAAAGGGACCTGACAGTTCCCTGCTGTCCGTCCCTCCGCTGGCTCCTCCTCTGACACAACCTGACACAAGTTACCACATTCAAAAACTCCAAATTCACGCTGGAATCACAGTAACTGGCGAATCCTGAAGGAATCTCTCACTCCTGAGAGTGAGCCGGGCTGTGTCACACATGTCTCTCATATTACGTGTCGTTTATGTTATAAAAAGGATTCGGCCCCATCCCTTGGTTCGCGTGGAACCCCCAGCAATTTTCACTCAGCTGGAAACACTTCCGTGCTCCACCTCAATCTCAGAAATTTTTCAAGAGCGTAATTTCAATTAAGAAGTTCACAACGGGAACTCGTGCTGGCGATTTTAAAACCAAACTTCAGGAAAGCGGGCAGAAAGCAGAAAAACCCTCGCCAGGACTTTGATGATGCCCCGCGGGTCCTTTCCAGCCCTGGATATTCTGTGGTTCTATATCCCCCTCCATCTGTTCTTTCCACGCTCGATTCCCCCTCCATCCCTTATAACTCTTGTCAAAGCTTCTGGTTTTTGAGCATTCATCCGTCATTCACCTCACAGCACCAGGGGAGGTGAAGGATGAACACACTTTACCTGCGTCCCCCGCAGGGTCCCTCCTGCCGCAGCCGCAGCTCCCGGACCGGCAACGACGGGACCGTCCCTGAAGGAGTAACCGGGAAACGATGGGATCAACACCTGGAGCTCGCCGAGGTCACACGGATGAGAACGAGCTGAAACACGGCCCGAGAGCGGGCGGGCCCGCGGGAGGGCAGCGCTCACACACCGGAGCCCTCACGGAGGGAGCCCTGAGGGCGCGGGACCCCCCGACACCCACCCGGGCAGCGCCGCGGGGCGAGGGGGCCGCTCCCGCCGGGCTCCGCACCGGGATGGGGCTGCTCCTGCGGGGGTTCCACACGGGGAGCAGGGGGGGCTCCACAAGGGGAGCAGGGGGGCTCCACACGGGGCGAGGGAGCCGCTCCCGCCGGGCTCCAGGCCGGGATGGAGCCGCTCCCGCCGCCCCGCGCGCCGTAACGGCCGCGGAGTTTGAATGTAAACGGCGGGAGGGAGCGGGCGGAGCTGAGGGCGGGCACAGAGCTGAGGGCAGGGATGGAGCGAGGGCAGGCACCGAGGCAGGGCGGGCACGGAGCTGAGGGCAGGCACCGAGGGAGAGCGGGCACGGAGCTG